AGGTCGTGGAGGAAGAATGTTTCCGTAGCACGCGGAGATCTCGACCAGGGAACATCAGGGAACGAGTGTTTAGCGGTCGATTTTCAAAAGTACGCTCCTTCTCTCTCTGAGAGAGCCGCCACCTACCATGACCTAGTTCCCTAGCCGACCTTACGGCAGTTCGCCCTAATTTCATGCGTTAACTACTTTCACGGGGGTTATTAATTATTTGGCCGAGGAATAAGTCCGTCCCGATTCGTCGGAATCAACAGAATCCGGTCGATTCGTAATTGGGTTTACGCAACAGCGTGTATCGGGTTAGCTTCGATGAGCTTTGGATCGATTACTCGTCTCATCAGCGTGAGAGCTTTCATTTCGTTTTTTAAGGCTGCGAAAATAGTCCGGCGAAGTGATTTTTCGGATCGTGTTAATATTTACAAGCTGCATTTTATTTACTCCTCGAAAACAGGGGAATAGTGCACATGGACGTACGAGAAAAAAACAAAGCTTGTTCTCCGGGTCATGTTTCTCTTACTGTTTTAACTGATAAAAGACAAATTCAACCGTGCACAACTACGTTTGTCAAGCAGTAAATATCACGCGTTATTATCAATGCAAATATGTATTCATTTCATTTCGGAAGAAGTTCAAAGTAATTACCGTTAACTGTGTGAAATGAAACGAGTACATATTTGCACAGAAACGCGTAAATTTACGCGTGACTTTTGTTATTCAAGGCCATCCGATGGTCAACATGCTATACATGAATTTCTGTTTTTATCGTTTGCAAGAGTAAACGAACGAAAATACGTCACATTGACATTTCAGAAAAATATCACACGAACTGTTCCATTAAGTCCGATCCCTTCTATCTATATTTTCCAAAATTTGATAGCATCGATGGCCCGACCAAATTTCAAATTGTTTTATCAACCACTTTCGAAGTAATTGAACATTTGAAAATGAATATCGCTCCACTGTGGCGGCGTGCAGAGAACATTTCTGCCATCGTTTTCTCCGACTTCGTTTCGAGCGCGAAATCTTTCGCGACGATGTAAATAGCGTGAATTCTAATATCGTTCACGAGCTCGCTACGGTTTAACGAACTGCGAAGTTTTTGGCACGAAACCATCGAATAAAGCTCGACAAGCTTAATCAGAAATGACGCCGTGTCTGCGTTTCGTAACACTTTCAGACACGAATTTCCATTCAGCTTCTCGCGTCGAAAGACGGGGGAAACTCTTTCTTGGACAGACACCACATTATCCGTTCGATTCATCGACGCGTGCTTGCAGAAACGGCGCCAATATGAATAATTAGCTTGCAATTAAGTCACGTGGCTCGCGTGCAAAATTTAATTATCGCCGTTCCTATCGCGGAGCACGATTGAATCATTTACCGCGCAAACTACTTGGGTGGGCTTCTTCAGAATGCTTGGATCAATTTTAAAAGAAGTTTTTAAACTTTCAAATATTTCCTAGCATAATTCTATAGGCTACATTAATTATTTCCGCGATATTAGTCAGTTGTGATTTAAGCTTGTTTAATCCTCTGGTTCGTTTAAACTACGGGCAAATTCATCTTTGTCATTCGGCAATGCTCTTTTGCCCGAGAGCAAAAACTGTCGTACGAAAAGTAGAAAAGATTTATAATGTGTGCAGTGACAGTGTGATTACTACACGCACTGTTCCAAAATGATTTATTCGGTTTTAGGAGACAAAGAGCACCGCGAAAGGACAATCAAGATTAATGATGATAATGCACACGGTACACAAGGCATTGCAAGAATATTGAATTCCAGAGTACCAAGGAAATATTTATCAAACGTTCCATTAAAGTAAGATAACGTAGAAATCATTCGCTTTGAGATTCGAGACCGTCATTTTTAATTTCCAAAACAAACTCGTCGAAATCCGAGGAAAAGATTACGCTTAGATTAACAAAGAAGGGTCCCAAAGTGTACACTAAATTTTTAAACGAGCCTTTACGCAATGAAAGAGCTTCAAAAACTGAAGTTAATGATATCCGGTTTTGGATGCAGACGATTAATAATTTATGAGACGTAATGTTTAAATTACTGTTTCCATCTTCTCTGAAGTATAGCTTGACTTATCAAAAGCGAGCGGAGGTGGACCAGTAAGGCGTTAAACCGATGGTATCTGGATGACGTGACAAAAAGAAGACCATGACATCAGGTTCAAGGCATATTGCAAAAGAGAAGAGGGAAACTGTAATTTTAATATTAAATATCTCATAAACTATAGGAAACTCGAAATTTGTCCTATTTTCTAGATTATAGATTCTGTTTATAGGATTACTGTAACCTAGCTTTATCCTGTGCCTCATTAATCGGATTGAAGCGGATGTAAAATATCGATAAGATTCTATAGAATAGCTTTACGATCAGAATGAAACTTTGAACGTTTCAACGAGCCGGAAGGATCCGTTGATTAAAATTCACGTCCCTATTGTTGCTTATGAAACGTTTTTCCGAGGAAGACTCTTCGTATTAAAATTGGCTACGAGATGGTAATCAGTGTTTTGTACATCGACGTTTTCTACTCCTCTAAAATGCATCTACAATAGGGGCGTCTACGTTGATAAAATTGTCCGGATGCAGTGTCCGTAATAAATTATTCATTCGTGTTGTATAACGAGAAGTTGACGTTTACGCCAACTATTAGTAACGTGGACGAAGCACGAAGAACATAGTGAACACGAAATTACGAAGTTTTCCTGTCGCACGACAAAGCTCGAGGCTCGAACGAACGTGATAATGTTCATGACGCGAACCGTGACGATTTCTAGGGTGTAGACAATGTAGATTTTCATTTCTACTGCACACCAGATCGATATGTGCACCCGGTGTGCTTCCATCTGACGTGTGCACCAGAAGCGAAACGACGCAGAGCAAAACTTTCTTCGTGTTTCATGTTAATTAATATTGCTTAAATCACGGACAAAGTATAGAGTTCCCGATTTACTGTAATGCATCTTTCCGTTTAGTCGATTACAATACGTTCATAAAACGTTCTTCAAATTGTCGCACATAAGCGTCTATAAATCACAAATTTCGAATGACACGATCGTGTTAAACTAGAATTCTCGTCATGTGCAGTGTTGCAATCTGTTTTAAGACTTTGTCTATCACATTACACGTGACAACAAAATGATGATGGGTTCTTACGACTCCATAAATCGTGAACAAAAAAAATGCATGAAACGATCGGTTCACTCTATACCTCGTCTATGGTAAAAATGTTGCCTTGATTATCACTCACCGGTATCGCCGTTGCTCTTCGTGTTGGTTGCCTCGGTTTCTGCGTTGTCGCTGGCCACCACTGTCCTTGCAGGCTCATCCGCTAAAAAGAAAATACCTGTTATTTTTTTCAAGTATACTGGAAAATATAGCAAGCAGATATAAAACAAAGCCTGTAATTTTTTGATAAGACATAGTGGTGTCTTCCTCTTTTTAAACAAAATAATTACTTGGCACAACTAAACTAGAAGATCGAAGGAACTGTGGTTCCTTCTATCTTCGTAGTTTAGTAATGTAGCTTGTAAGAATGTAAAAGGGAGATCGATGGAACTTTGATTCCATCTATCTCCCTTCGGGTCTCCGCTCGCAGAAAAAGAACTTCTTTATCGTGGGTAACACCGAGCTAATGGCTGCAAATTTAAAATTGCTTCTCGAGATATAAGAGAAAATCATACTGTCTAATGTTTTGTCAGATTTAAGAACGTATTGGTCTTGAATGCTTTAATGAAATTAACAGAGAATCTCTTCCATGAGAGAGGACGCTAAAATCACCTTTAATTTTTGGTATGTCGGTCAAATTGGACCACGAAAGTCCGTAAGTACTCGTATATCTCGTGTGTAATTTTATACGTAGATTGAATATGACCTTTGATCGATAAACGTTTTAAACTGTTTACCCCAATTATCACTCACCGGTATCGTTGTTGCTCTGCGTGCTGGTTGCCTCGGTTTCTGGATTTTCGCTAGTCACCATCGTCTTCGTGGTTTCGTCCGCTAAAAAGAAAATCCACAGGTATTAGGAATTTGTTCCATGGATTGCTTCACCATGATGAAATAAGAATTCGATATCTGGTAAAATAACTTGTTTCGGAGCAGGGCTAGTGTGGCTCCAACTTTTAACCCCTTCCCGTACTTTAACGAGTCTGACTCGTGATTAAGATTTTGGCTCAAACATGAATATCACGAGCCAGACTCGCGGATAGCAAATGACGATCGTGATTGAATTTTAGTCCCTATCAGTACGCCACAAGAGTTGGTCACGATTCTTATAATCTCTGTTACAAAGCAGTTTAGCATAAGTTTAGCTAAATGCCACGGGAAAGGGTTAATTTCTTATTTTGCTCGGGCATAGTACTGTCCTATCCGTGGCTTCTAGTATACAAAACTGAGAGCGGAGCAAGGTCTCCGAACTTTTCATTTCTTTGCTTTTACAGTGATTTTTAATTTATATTAAAATATTTATATTATAATTTAGATTTTTAATTTTTCGTTTAGTTCATGAACCTTTTCTACGCAAAGTTCTTCGAAGTAACGTACTAGTATACTAGTTATAATTTAACTTGCTTAGATATAACGTGTCGAACAGGACAAAAATTTGCATCGATCGCTTTATTAGACGAGGATACGATTAGGAGGAATATCAGAATTCTCGGAGACCTTTATTAATAAATTCATGAACCTCCAGATGTTAATTTTAACAAACACACGAATAAAAACGAAAGTTGGGAAAGGGATTATTTTTGTATTAACTGTGAAAAGAAAGTCATTCCCAGTTTTAAAGCATTAGGGATATAAGTGGAAATAGAATAGGGAGACTAGCACAAGTACATTATTATTTAATAATACTCGTAATAGTCTTTCGAAATGAATTTTTAATATTTATACGTTGTTATACAAGTATATAAACGGTTTTTTGTAGATTTTCCAATTATATTGAAAAATATTACGAGTGAATATAAATCAGTAGGAATAAGTTGTTGGAACGTTTCTTATACTGTTACTGATTAATAGTCTTATTCTTTTTATTTAGTTCTTGTAAGCTCATTTGGTAAGCTTTTTGTGAAAAAGCCGTAAAATTTGGAACAACACTGTGCCATACGTGTTACATCCTTCACGGATAACATACTTAAAATTTTTAGTATCAATTCAGTTGGAAGACATTGAAGACTAGGACCCATAAGTTCTGATTCGATTAATAAGTCTGTACGTACTGGTGTGACTAAGTTATCCTTAAACCTATCAAACGATTCTATTAAAAACTATACAAAGTTTCCAAACTATTATAACATTGTTTGAGACCCATTGTACCTGTGAGATATTGCTTTTAAGTTCATATAACGTCCAGAAAGGTTACTTAAGAAAGGTTTAATATACATTAGGGTTTGTACACACATAGAATAAGTCTTTTTCTTGTCCAAAAGAGGAAATAAGTTAAGAATTAATTTGTCCCCGCATGGAATTGCTATCAACTTGCAACTCATGTCAGGGCAAGCTGCTAATTGAAAGCGTATATCATAGATCCCTGTCTCTTCTGATTTCCAATGTTCCGGTATATGAAGAGACCTTAGTGGTCGACTGTAACAAACATTTTATAATGTACAAAACTTATTTTCATCATTTTTTATTGTAACAACAGAAATTAAATCAAACGTGATTAAATGCCACTGCTCACCATTGTGGATAGTTTTTGTTTGATGAAGAAATATAAAAACCAGACTCTGCCAAAAAAACAATTAGCAAAGCAACGAAATAATCATGGTGCGTAGCATCCTCCTTTAAATCTTTCAGTATTCCTTCCAACGAAGGTACTAATTTCGTAGGTGTGCTGTCTTCTACTAAAATAGGCTCTAACATAATCGCGACTTTTCAAACACAATCCTAACCTCTGAAACCCATCGAACCACTCTCTCACTAGATTTACCTGGACCTACGTTACACGAACTTTGTTGTATGCTTTGTGGTGCCCTCTCTGAAGAAATGTAGAAGCTACGATAGTTGGAAAATAAATACGTTCGAAAAGGACAGATGTTAAAATAAATCACAATATATCTCTGTTATAGAATCGATTGGTACACCATTTACTATTTTCGAACGTGCTTCAAGTCCTTCAACTAAATTTCAAATAACGAAAGTGGGTTTTAATCGACATTGTAGTTTTAGGTAAATAATAATGTACCAGTGCTTGGTAAGATACATTGCAACAAGTTATAAAGTTAGGATTGAAAGAGAATTCGGTTGAATAATAGAAAAAGATAATATGCGAGAAATCTCGTATATCAAACGTATGGTTTCAAGCTTATCGCAGATAACTTATCATTGTGTAATTTTTCGTCGATAACTGAACTCGCCTGCGAAGCTTCCGCAGTCATCAAATTAACGATAATACATCTATCCGTGGCTATGTTTTCAAAAGTAATTTTGTCATTGTCTTAGAAAAAGTTAACGAGATTAGAAAAACATTGCAGTTTCGTGCCACGGTAAATAAAGCTTTGACCAGAGAAGGTACAGAACTGTGCTTTAACGCTTCTCGTTTCACAGCGCCACCATGAAAATTAAAAAATCCCAGGCAATGCGACTCAAACGAAGATAAAATAAATAATATAAAACCGGTATAGGAACTTGTTATATTTTTTCCCACACAAATGTCTCAACGGTCTCATTGGTAACGGCAAACAGACCTAATTGCTTATAATCGTCAATATTAGAGGAAATAAATTAAAATAATTTGCACGAAGGAAGCTACACGTTATATATTATCGATTAATTTAAGCGTGCATATAATTGTCCCGAGTCAAAAAGTCGAATTCGATTCTTTATCCACCTGCTTGGTAATAATCTTTTCGCCAGTAACGTAATATTAAATTCGTTAACCGGAACGTTTATCGTATAAAATATACTACCAAAAAATAACCAAATAAATACGAACAGCGTCGCGACCGCGAACAAGATAAAATATCACGTGCAAATATTTGTAAACGAGAGCGTAGAAAATAATTAAAAGAACGTTGTCAAAATCGAATTGAAGGGAACTGTGTGTACGTAACGTCCTTAACGTCGGCTGGAATTTAATCTACGGCATTTTGTCTCTTTAGAAAATTTATCCGAGTTCGCGCGAGTGACAGACATCTCCGTGCCCCGTTGAAATTTTCACGCATCGTACGCGCCGAAATTAAGTTGCATATGATCGTCGATGAGTCACGTGATCGACGACGACATGTTAGGTAGAAAATACCGGGAGACCGAGGAAAATTCAAGGGGGCTCGTTAAACGTCACGATACGCTCCTGTTCGGCATGCAAGAGCGCTCCGTGCCACTTGTTGCATGGCCGCGCTCGACAGTCGCGTTTGAATAAACTGGTTTCAAACTGGTACGAGATATTCTAGCGGTGCACACGTACCTGGGCAGCCGGATGTCTCCGCGTCCTCCTGGCAAGGCGTTTCAGGCACTTTCGTTTGTCCGTGGGGCACAACACTAGTCACTACACTTGACACCACCGACTCGCACGATTCGGCCATTTTCAGGTTAACTCGCGTTTATCCGCACGGCGGCTATATAGTTACCTTACCGCATTCGAATCCGAATCCCTTTTTCGAAACTTCCACGCACGCTTCGCGGTTCATAACACGCTACTCCCGTGACAGATGGCGGCCCCCTCATGGCGAGGTTGCTACCGCCACCTGGTGGCGAAAGTTACAACCATAGGAGTCACACGCACTGACGCTTGTCTTTGATTTTTATTAATAATTATTGGCAGAATAAATCTAGTAGCTCGTTCAATTTTATTATCCGTGACCAGAGCCGCGTTAACGAATAAGCCAGTGGTTCTTCAACGTATTCGTGACCACGAGTTTACAACAGGTATGTGCGAAATCTATTTCACAAAGTGTTCGAACGACAAACGACAACGTTATTTCAAAGTTAATAGAAACGTTTGCGATTGTATTTTATTTGTATTGCGCGTACGAGTAAAGAATCCGTACAAAATAATATAAATTCGTATAGAAATAAGTATAAGAATTATGATTTACGATAAAAAAAAAAGAAAAAATTATTCAAATACAAACGACAGGGTACAAACGAATGTTTAATCGACCGTCCATGTTTAATTCGATCGGCCATGTTTGATTCGATCGTTAAGCAGAGAAGCGTAACGATTTTTATGTCAGAGTTGTTGGTGATTTATCAAAAGATTTGCCGGAGGTAAAGACACAGTCCCGTGACCGCATATAGAATATGGTAACGCAACAACGCCTTTCATCCACTTCCCTATGTCGCAGCAATAACATTCGACGCTGTTCAGTGTTTTCGGGAACATCGTAGTTATTCCTCCTATTATGAATAACTGTTCGCCTAAAAAGAGAAAGATTATCGATTAATCGGAAAAGATTCGAGTTATTAAACCCGTTACGCTAAAAGTCCTCCATTAAGGACGAGTCGCGGATCTCGAGAGTTGAAGGAGTTTTTCGAGTTTCGTAAGTTTCCCGATGGAAAAACGTACCTATCGAACCAACGGCGTGTCCGTGCCTCGGGATCGACATGTTCGCCTGTTCTTTCCAAACGCAATCGATTCTATCCCACGTGTCGATGCTGTCGATGCTCTGAGCGCCAGTCTCGGTGATCGACACTCCTCCGATCACGTAAAGACAGTCGGATACGACGTAGAAAGAGGCAAAGCACCTCGGTGACCTCAAAGGCACCGCTTTCAGCCATCTGAAAGCACATCGATAACAGCTTTTGCATTTCTTCCGCGAACGCGGCTGTATCGAGTGTTTAATCTAGGTAATGCAATGGGCCGCGAAAGATTGTACAACGGAATATCGAGCTAACAAATTTTCGATCGGGTTATAGCACTCGACGTCCTTCGTGTAGAACTCCTTTTTCGATTTTGTCATCCCGCCAGCGACCCAGATAAGATCGCGATATTTCACGCTGGCAGGTCCCACCCTCGCAGTTTGCATCGGTTGCATCTCTCTCCACCTGGAGTCGGACGGATCGAAAGCCTCCACGGTTCTCAAAGCCCTGTAATAGAGAAAACAAAGTTTCTTCGCGAGAGTATCGAGCTCGCACCCTCGCTTCTTCCAATTACGTAACTTTAATTAAATTATTCGATTCAAAGCGTAACGTCGACAACTGCAGAGAGCACTCCGGGAAGCGTTGCGTATTTTATAACTGTTCAGGGTAGACAACTCCTCCGTCTTAGTTGGTACAAGAGTCATTTGTCGTTTACTAAATTAATGTTTCGAAATGCTCCAAGTTTTCCTGAGCGAGAACTGGTCGACGTGGAAATAAATAGCGAGGAAAATGAAAGAAACAGCAGAGAGGGAACGTAATTGAGCTCCGTTCAACGACTCACATCCCGTTCCTGTCTTGCCCACCGATGGCGTACATTTTCCCATGACTGACCACCAATCCGAAGTCCATTCTGGCTGTCAGCATGTCAGGTTCGTCGAACCAAGTCCTCGTGGTTGGGTCGTAACTCCAGACACTTGCAACCGAGGTACTCTTCCCGCGGAGTTTGTCTTCCACCTCCTTTGTCGCCTTTCCTCCTAACAATATCTTTTCTGTATTTCTCAGAGATTTTCCGTTCGCTTTTTTAAGAAAATTCCCTTCCGTAAGCTTTGGAAACCACTGGTTTACTCGATCGAATCTCGACCGAAGAATATATTCCCTTTTACGAGCAAAACCATAAAGAAGATAAGCTACATCGAAGCTCTTTCACAGTAATATAAACGAAACAGAAATTCCTTCGTAGGAACATTAGCAATAACGTAGCGCTGTCGTCATCGTTCCACTCACCCGCTACGTATACACGCCCTCTTAGGTAAGCGACCGAGTGATGATGTCGTGGCTGTGGAATTTCTCCAGCGAATTGCCAAAGGTTCTCGGCAGGTTTGAATCTGTATATATCCTTGCTGATGTTTCCGGTACGACCGTACTCTTTGTGGGGATCGGCGCCGCCGAATACGAGGATCGATTCTCGATCGGGAAAGAACAGAGATTGCTCCGAGAAGTAGCGGTCAGCGTTCGAACCTAATATGCTGCTGCTGATCCTCTGTGGTCTGATGGTAATTTTTAAGTAAACCAAACGTTTAGATGCGATTGATCGTTCGATGACTTACAGTGGTCGTTTGCCATTCGAGGCTCGAACTTGGACAGTTTTGGAGTGTTTCGCTTGTTCCTTGTGTTCTGCATCGTCGTCGAAATCGGTCGTGGTCGATTTAACGTCGGTCTGCGGAGAGATAGGTTCCTCCGTGTCGGTGTTGTCCGAAAAGGAACTGGTTCTTTCGTCGTGATTTGAAAAAAACACCGGCGACTTGATGGTCCTGATAGTCTTTAACGCATTTCGTGGGCGCGTCGGGGTCGCCAGGACACGCAACGTCCTTTGTTCTCCTGTCAGGTAACTGGGCACGCGTTCGTTCAACTAAAATTCACGATAACGATTTTAATTAATTTCGTTCGCTAAAATTCCATGGAAAAATTATTTTTATTATATAACGTTTACTCGTTCACAAAGATCTTCGGCGCAACGTTGGTCCTTGTTCTTCGCCTTGGAACTCAGAGTCCAGGGCGTTTCCTCATTTTTCATTTGGTTCGCCGAATTGTTCGAGGTTCTGATAGGTTCTAAATTGCGGACTGGTTCTCCCATCGGAATAGCCAGAAGCTCCGCCACCTTCTTGATATTCCGTTTCTCCTCCAGCGTCGATTTCTTGATCTGAGAAACAACGCGTGCCCGGTCGAGTCTCGAGTTCGAATGGAAGATTCGATCGGATATTTCGTTACGATCCAACATACAAAATTCTCTGTTTCGAGGTTACTTCTGCGCAACACCGATATCGTATCGAATAACCGGAACTTTTCGCGTCTACTAACTTCGTGAAATCTTCTTCTAGCCTTGTATCCCCTGTAGACGGCCTGTATCGTGGTGGCCGCCTCCTCCTCGGATTTACCGGAGTCTGCTCGCGCCTCCGGGTCCCTCGGCAACCTACATCTCGCCTGCTGCTTCCTCGCGGAAAATATCAAATTCGACTCGCGCTGCTGGCACCGGCAAACATCCGGCGCGTTCTTCTCCTGCCGGCTCTCGTAATCCAATTTACCGTCGTCCTGGAAAAATAGACGACTCGCGGGCTACGGGGACGAAAGTTTCCCGCCGGTGAACGAAAGGGATCTTTTCTTCGATAACGAGTCGCATTACCAGCAAATTCGCGTCGCGTTGACAGTGTTCCTGGCCGTGTTTCTCGACGGTTGACGGCCTGCTGGGAGCTTTCGTTGATTCCCCAATACCGGTGGACCTGGTGTCCAAGGTAACCGTGTTCCCATCCTTCGCGTTGCTCGTACGATCGTTCTGCGCCATTAACTTACATGTATTGTCGTCTCTGATAAAATATTATTACAGTTCTCATCGTTAAAGTCTTCGAGTGGCAGTCGAGTCTTTGTACGACACTGTTTACACTCGAATGCCTCAACAGTGAGAGTTGTAGGACGCTAGGTCGTGGTAGCCTTAAATGTTTTCGATAGGATTAATTAGTATTCTAGCTGCTGTAGGGAACTGGCGTGTTTACGAGAGGGAAGAAAGGTTCTGCGTTTGGTCTATGTTCATTTCTCCCCACCATTGATCTCTGTGTTTCGGGTCTCGGTGACGCGTAGTAACCGAACAAGGGACTCTGTGTAAGTCATAACCAAACAGTCTCTTCGTTGCTGTGCTCGTAAACATACCTACTGCCTACAGTACGTTGTTACGCCAGCGTAATCTCAAGGTAAGAGCTTATACGCTGTGAGAACAATTTGTATGAATCGCGCGGAACGTAATGGCTCGGTTCGATGCCTGGCATCGTTAAGCACGGATTTCGAGCTGCATAAACTCTGACCTTTGACTACAGCTCCGTGACATTTCTTGGGCGAAATTTATTATTTCCACTTAGAAGCACGCCGCGGCTTACCTCGAGATTTCTTTGACGATAACCGCGTAATAATCCCTGAAAGCAAGCAAGCGAAAACTTTTCAAACACAGAAATCTGCCCGGTCGTTTTGACGCGAAATTCGATCGCGAACGACTCACCGTAATATCCGCCATTCCTTTTCCATCCACCGTGAGCGGGTTACTTTGAAACATACTTTCCTCAATCTCTTCGAAACAGTCATTTTCCACAAAAGAGTCAGCGCATTACGCGAGGAGATACGGTATTTTATAAAATGAACGTACAGTCTGTCGCGCGAGAGCGTAGATATCTTTCAAAGGATATTAAAAATATTAAAAAATATATGAGCAGAGAATAATTAATTTAGTCGCTACGTTCTCGCGCGACAGACCATACACGTGTACGATAATGTTGTTCTAATATAATCTGAGGTTTTAATATGTACATACGATGTACAGAATACGAGCTAAATATGTTACACAATGTCTAATTTAAATATCTTTATGATCGCCAGGCAAAGAGGGCAGAAGGATATCAATTGTAAACGGATCGATCAATGACTCCGTCTGTTTTGTGGCTTTTCCGTCGCTCTTCCGTCGGAGTTTTGTCCACTCACCCCTTTCCTTCTTTCCAGATACTCGTTCATCAATTTTGGAGGCATCATCAGACCCAGTGGCATGTTCAGCGGTAAATAATTCTGGGGGGCAGCCTTCGAGTGCATCGAATGCGTTGCTGCGTCGTTGCGAACGGCATCGTTGTCACCTGACAGATTCATCCTGATTAGACAGCACCTTAATCATGGCCCTACAGTGTGGACTAGCCAGGCAATTTGGACCAAGCCCCACGCCCACAGCCTCAGATTTACGCGCAAAGAAGAATAGGTAAGTGACTTCAATATTGAAATTAATATCATAACAGTTTTACTTCGGAACTAATTGTAAGTAAGATTCGGCCAGTCCAGCAATTTAGTCCAAACCTAGACCGAAAGTTTAAATAAATACCCGAGCTTTGAGCGTAATTGTTAGGCGTCCTCGAAGGCGGGAACAAATAATCATGGGGCGGTGAATTCGGTGGGGTGGTCTTTGGAAGAGTTTTCCGATTCCTCAGCTCCGAAATTTTCGTTCTTTGATACTCTTCGAGGTACAGCAAGAATTCCCGATACGTCACGTAGTTCTTGGAACAACAGACACACGAGACAGTTATTTTATAGCGTTCTAAAGAATTTTAATTCGAAATACCTTGTCCTCCCCGGCCCAATTTCGATTGGTGGGCTCGGACAGCCCCAATAGTTCGATCCAGTGGTGATAGTCTTCGGTCTGGTTACCGTACCAGTACTTGATAATGACGAAACTGAAATAAATAGTAATTTAACGAACGAGTACTCGATTTCCCGGCGAAACGCTTACGCTAAACCATCGTCGACCATCTTCTGCACCTCCGGGAATGACATCAGCTCCATGAATTCAGGATTCTCCGGGTTCCTTTTCACGTCTACCAATTGCCACGGGGCTATAAGTCCGAATCGGATGCACTTCATTACTTCCAGCATCTGATGCTTTCTATTGTCCCAATCGTGCATCAGCCATCGGACCGCGGACATCAATACTTCCATTTCGCTGACAGGGACGAAACGCGATATTTCATCGAGGACACGATAGATTTTTAATAGAAAGTTACCTGTTTACGCAAATGTAGTTCGATTTTAGCAAAAGGCAGAGCTCGTCAACGGACAGCTCCAGAAAGTCTTTGGTGCTGACGAGCATCAGGAAGAATTTCATTATCCTGGGCAACATCAGCTCCATGACGGCGATATTTTTGATCTTCTTTGCCTCCAGGTACAATAAAAAGGCTGTGTCTTCGGTGAACAATTCGTCGTTGTCTATGAAAGCCCAGCATTGCTCTTCTAATTCTAACGAACGAGGGTTCATATTCTATCTTAGATTTTCTGTATTCGAAATTTGAGCAGCCTCTCTTGTTTTAACGCGAACAGTGTGAACTTCGGTAGTAGAATTCGAGAAAGGAATCTAAATTTCCTCGTGTTTCGCACGGAAATAGAATGCAGTCCTTTATTTCCCTCGCATCTCGAACGGTTTATTGAAGTTTCGAGTTAGACAGTGACGTATTCAACGAAACTCGAGTGCAGTGCCATTGCAAGTTCCCCGGAAGCTTATCGCGCCAAGGAACTTTTCATTCTTTCCCAGCAGCGGGTCTGAACTTTTAAAGTGTGCTAGGAGGCGCGTGCTATATATTATGCAAGACAGTCGCGGTTTAGAAGATTGATGGAAATGGGAAACGGTGGCGGGGACACAATGTAAACAGGATCATTGCTCGTAAACCCTTCACATAAATAAAGTCACGGGAGGATTTAAATTCATGAGGTTAAAGATCCTCGGTTCGCTATGCATTCTTTAATGACGAAATTCTTTAATGCTCGCTAATTCTTTTTAGAAGGTTAACTACGTACTTTTTTAATTGAATATCTTGGAAGCTTTTAACGTTTCATGCTATTTATATTCGATTATATTAATAATATCATACGCCATTAAATGTAATTTGGCTCCGTTGGTCGTACTCTATAGTGCAGTTAAATTATTCCGCGAAACTCGATTTAAACCGAAGTAGCTGAGTAAATATTCCAAGTTCGTGCAAACATAGCTGCGGGTACTTATTTTCCTATTATTGTTACGGAGAAAATATTAAGCAATTTTGAATTAGTTTAATGCACAATTCTGAAACAGTGGATTCCAGTTAGAAGTTGTTGGACATTTGTAGAAATGTATTTTTGGCAAGACGAAGCACGAGGTACGTATGAAGTTGGATTTTAAATATTTCTTTTGTTACTTACCTTTAATACAGAGGTACTGAGCAGCGATGAATACTTCCAGGATATTGTCTCTGTGCAAAAGCTGGCAGCTTTCGTTCTGCGAACTGATCATCCAATCGTAGATGGTGGCGAACGCCTTCGAGGACACGTCGCTCTAATTTGCATGATATGCGATTTTTGAGAATTTATAAAACCATTGTTGAAACCTCTCCTGGCAGTTTCCATTTTTCGTATTATTCTGCACGATTCTTCTCTTCCTGAGTCTCCTCAACTGTGTCAAATTTTCGTCCTTTCGGCTTTGGCTTTATTCTAGGGATGATGAAAACTCGTCCCTCTTGATTTGATTATTTCGGACTTTCTCATTTTTCCTAAAACGAAAGATCAACGGACGGAGGTTTGGCACAGTTGAGGAGATTCTAGAACGGACGACGATTGTGCAGAACAGTACGATGAAAGATCACTTTTAGTAGGCATCCCAACAATGGTAGTTGATTAATGACACTTCAACTCGACTCTTACTGGCCGTAGTTTTTCATTTTTCATAGAGTTAATTACGAAATTTTCGAACATGCACAAGTATGAACGATGTTTTACGATAAAAAACATTCGGAGGGTTGCGTACCCCTGTTCGTATAGAAGGTAATTAAGTTAGGAATATCGAAAATCTTTACGCAAGGCAGGGTACTCGGTCGTTTCTCTTTTATTTTTAATTACTCGTTTCCTTGACACGTGGCGAGCAAGAGAGCGTCGTCGAAGGGTAGACCGTAAAAATGGTCGGGGCTCTTTGCAGCAATCATTAAAGGGCGACGAGCAGCGCATTATTCGAGAGTCGCTATTCACCCTTATGTAAAAAGAGAGTCAAATATAGCCGCGGGCGGGGAAGGCGAAAAGGAGTTCAAGGTCGCTTGGCTTCGAGCCCACAGAGTCACTGTTAGAGGACTGGGAAAAAGGGGGAGGTGGCAGCAGTACAGGATGCTGACACAAGAGATTGGGGTCGCTTGCAACCCCTTGGCGCTGCCTATTCGGCGATTTCGAACCTTCAATACCGAAGATATATCGAATTTCCCTCTTTCGCTCTGCCATAATGTCTCTATTTCGAACGTCCATACATTAGTACGGTCCTCTTTATTGCCTCGAAAAGTTTGGAAATTTAAAACTTCTCTCGCTCTGGCCTTGGGGGAAAAGGTCACCCTTCTTTCAAACTTAAATATAGTATGGCTAGCATACGAATACGAACATTCTTATGTTGGTAAACCATAGTAAACCATAGTGATTTCCTCTACTATCTCTAAATCTCTTCATCCTCGTCATGCGTGCAATCTTCAAAAGATCCCTTTCGAGGTTTCGACACATCCCACGATAGTGTCACGCAAGGTCAACGAATTTCATCCCAGGCACAATATCCGCAGAATCTGATCGTACCGTCACCCACTCTATCAAACAAATCGCTCAAGAGAAAGGAAAAAGAACCGGGCGAAAGAACGTTTTGAAATAAGCTGGCGAGAAATTGAGGGGCCGAAGACGAACGTCGTGGCTGGTCGATAGGACGCGTATCCTGAATGAAGGAACGCGACGGGCAGAAAATCGGATCCTGCGAACAAAGAGAGTTCATTCGGGATCCGGTACAAACTTTACGTTCCGTATACCGATAAATCCATAATGGATCTTGCAAGGTGCACGAATATAATCAAATCGCGGCCAACCTCGATAGGAATAGGATGGGGACGAAGAACTCCGCGAACCTTTCGCATATTTTATAAATTGTATTACAATTTTACCTTTTGTTCGACTCTCGTGCGAGCAAAGAAACTATAACAACGAAATCGCGGTTTACGACTAGTTTAGCGTGCTTCGTTAATGGACGAAGATCGATGGCGGACGAGTGCTCGCGACGGGGGCGGAAAAATTTATATTAATGCGAGACCGTGGTTTTCCCAGCCAGCGACGATACGCCGAAAGAAACGACTGCTCGGGCAAAACCGAAATATGAAAATGGTAAATGATCACGGGAGTTGATCGAAGCGATTACGTTATTCGTGCTGCCCTGATGGATGTTCTCTGACGAGGTTAACGGGAATTAAGGAAAATGGGGTCGCTCGGTTTTTCCGGGGACCTCTGGGAGATTAATCATCTTTCGGGGATCCCGGACATCTCTGGAATGATTTTCTTTCTGAGATTAAGGGTCTATATCAACGTCTGCTCTTTTAATAATCTTATGACTTCTTGATGAGATAAAAGGGAAACAACGGGAAGGGTCGGAGAGCAATCTCCAAATCTCGAGAAGTCAGAGTCAGAGACTGAAGAAGTCTGTAGGGAACAAAGGATTCGAAGATCCGCCGAGAGCACCCTCAAGGTTTCCTTGCAACTCTTTCGAATCTAGATAACTTTTCAGAAACGTTGCCTTTTCCCAAACTGGGCTTACATAGATCGTTCGTTTTGGATTAATACTAATTTCATTTCAATCTCTCCGTAATACACTTCACGAAGGTTTTCTTGATTTTACTGTTGTACGTTTAGTATAACGTGGACACTCACCTCGGTCAGATCGATCTCTTTACAATTCTTCTCGTCGAAAAAGGCGCTGTAGCTCTGGAGCACCAGAAGGTGGCAATGGAATTCGTCCACGCCAATCCTCACGATGCAATCCGCGTTCCTCGAAAGATCGATCGCGAAGTTTAGCCGGTAATCCTGTCCCGTTCGCCCCTAACTTTGTCCCCGGCGGTCGGACAAAACTATAAGCTTACTTGTAATTTGTGATACGCCTGGCTAACTCCTGATACAAGTCGGTCTTCTCCGGGAGAATGATATTATCCCAATCGATCGGCAAATCGCTGGTAAATCCGAGTCTGCACGGGGACCACGGTTACTATAATTATTGGCAAACATCGCCAGCAAACGACACTCACGCGGACAGTGGCACCTCCTGGAGCAACGGTGCTTGGCACGACATCGACGGCAACGTCTGCTGGTTCTGCTCCATCTCCGTTTGACCGAATTTCGATTTGAATGCGTGCATCGTGGATTTGCTCGCGTCCCCGATCGGCGGAAAACTTTTCTGGGCCTTCGAACGTACGGAAGAAAAAAAGAGAAGCGATATACGTTCGCGAAACAGTCGATCAACCGGTATTACGAAGTTGTCAGAGTTACCTGTAACCGATTGATCGTCGAGGATGAGACGCCGGGCGGAAGATCGACGAGCCTCGGTCTCGCGGAGGGCTCGGAAAAGCGACCAGCCAACTCGTTTCCGGGTCTGTTAAGCTCAGCTTTGACGTTAACCTTCGTGTGCCGTGGATCAGCCACCAGAACGCTGACTTTCTTCGATTCGAACACCACCTAGAACGACTACGCGTCTGCCCTGAGGCCAACATTCCCAGGATTCGATGAACGATCGCGGTCGGTGAGTCGTTCCCGAACGTTTACCTGATTCGGTACGATCTTCAAGTTGCCGCTAGGAGTAGCCTGAAACGGGAACACCCGCTTCGAGTCGTCGTCGCCGTCGTTCACGCTGATAAATGCACGGTCGTCGCCACGTTCACGGGGACGCGAGTGCATCTGTTGCATCAGATAGGCCAAGTTTGGGCAAACGGCTTCGTTTTTACGTTGTCTCGAATCCCCGTCTTTTCCTAGACTGGAAAACGTGTGTTAACCCCGACATTCCCAACGCGTCGCTTAAAAAGATTGTTATTACCGAGTTATTTTACGCGATTCAGCTTTGAATAGTTCTCTACCGATATCATCGATCGATCGCAATTAACGTTTTTAAAAGCACGACGTAATGGACAACCGATAGGCCTTATAATTATGAGATATCGTGAGCTATATTTAGAGCCCGTTATGCGCCGCGGGCAATAATTGATTAACGCTAATGTAGGAAACTATCAAACGCCACGGCTGATGGCTATCATACGCTATAATTAACATCGGGAACCGTGATCGGAGATCATCGAACGTTATTGCTCGTGACTGTCAGATGACATAATCTATGAAGAAGTATTAATTTGAATGATCGTAAAGACTACTCTGGTGTCTGGAGAGTTCAATATTAAGCTCCCTTCGCGTATCAATTTAAAAGAAAAGACTATTAGACCGATAGATAGATTCGAACGTGACTATCGCATAAACTATGATGGATTCTGTTACCTGGAACGAGCCATTAGTTTCGAAACGAACTTATCAGTGGGACGACATCGTTCCCTGAAGGTTCTGTCGAGTTCCCAGTGCTTGTTCGATCCTCTGCCTCGATCAGGATCATCCGAATCGTCCTCTTGACGAGTGGTGGACTCCTCACAGGACCTAATCAAATTTTTCGCAGACTTGACCGAATATCTCGACGGATCGGATCTCCGGTCCGCTGGTTGCGTCTCTTTGGACAAAACACGATGGTCCTTGGACAAGGAAGCGACTGCACGGCCGTCCTGATAAATGTGTACGTTGAGTGGTCCTCGTCGCCTCGATAAACGTCGGCGTCGTCTCAAAGTAGCTTTCCTTCGTTCGATCGGATATATAAGAGATCGGTCTTCCGGACTTTCCGCCAGGCTCGAGCTGCAAGAGAAGGAAACCGTGGAGAGAATTCTCGGGCTTCCACGGAGATCCGATCACAGGGCTCGCGATACGGAACGAAACTTTCATCTTATTTCGATCGTTGATAACTTTGCGGAAATGTCTCGAAACTTTTGGCAATTTAATTGGTTTTGGGAATATGGATTCCTGAAGGGACGGGAACGGGGCTCGAGTGCATTTCGCGCTTTGCATCTCGCGGAGGGAAACTTTCGAATCTGTAAATATTGGTGGTCTCCGAAAGAAAATTGCAGAACTTGCGGGGAACTGCAACCACCGAGACAGGTAGAGAAAAATCATCCCTGACGCTTCGTCCCACGACGATTCTATATTTCATAAATAATCGAAGATATTTGTTTGAAAAATTTTATCCTCGTTCCATCCTACGCGTTAACTTTCGACGCGAGCGTGTCTATCCGATCGATCGAACACTGTCTCCGAGGGGTGGTATATTTCCGAGTGTTCGATTCGTTATGAATCATTGTGTAAATTCAGCAGGGCGAGCCACCAATTACTCAAATGGTATTAACCAGACAATCTGTTGATTTTGTCACTCTCATTCTTTTGCAGGACAACCCTCTGTAAACCCACGCTTTCTGTTGTACCGAGTTGCTAAATTTGTATTTCTCACCTCTCCCCCGAAGTGAAAAATAATTTGGCCCGCAGAGGTTAAAATGTCGTTAGACGTATTTTACCTTTGCTGACGCAAGGGTTGAACGGTCTCTGTTAGCAATTGACTCGGTCCACGCGCAACCACCCGTTCCGATTGAGTGGCCCTAAGGGGTGGTTCGGGGTATGCTGGAGCGGCTGCGGTCGATTTCCCGTGATACAGAACCACCACGCTGCTCTTGCTGTTCCCGGGACGCGGTCGTTCCGGTGATTCTGATCGATCCTCCTCCGGTTCGACTACGAACGTTCTTGGATTAAATTGCTGGTCCTCGCGAGAACGTTGGCCGCGTGGATCCCGTCGATGTCGCCACCCCTCGAGTTGCCAGCCCCGGTTTCGTCTACGCGTGGATTTTCGCACCCCTTGCCGAGGAACAGATAGGCGAAGAGAAACAGCGCGAAAAGGAACAAGTACATCGAATCAGGGCCAGCGGCTCGTGGGTCGTGGTCGATTTTCAACGGGGTTTCGGGCCTTGGGGATGACCAGAATCATGGGAACGCTATAAACAACGAGAAAACGACATTTGAAACGTCTGCAATCGGCCTGAGTAGTCGCGAACGGTTGGAAATCATATCCAGAAATCTGGAGGAAATTCGATCGATCGTCTATGGAAACGAAATAGACAAAATTTTGATTTGACTATTTCAAGTATTAAATTTGTCTTTCTCAGTCGCCCCCAAAGTCCGAATAGACAGATCGAAATTAGAGCATCCGTTGCAAGGGGGTTGACTTACACTTTCGACTGTTTCGACGGATAGCTCGAATTATTCGCGGTGTACTCTTCCCCTTCGTGCTGTCAAAGGAGTGCGTTGAAGGTATGGTTAGATTTACACGAGTTAGGGGCGTACACGATTTAGGAAAGCGAACGTGACCCAGTGAACTTTTCAGATAATTACCAAAGTTTCGGGAGGGATCTGTCGACGAGGTCTTCACCACTGGAAGACTTCTCAGCAACGAAAGTTACTTGAGGCTAGAAACACACGGGGAGAAGAAGTAAATAAAACGTATAAAATTTTTACTTTCGTTTGACGAGCAACGGAGATATAGTTGTTCGTCTTTTATTCGTTTACTTTATTCCCCGTTTATTAAGTTCGTTTCCACGTTCGATTCAAAAAACCTTTTCAGGTTTTTGGCAAAAGACCCTTTGAAATTTTGAGCCCGAGTTTGTGGAATAGCGTTTGACAACTATCGCGATTCAAAGCACCTTTTCGATCGTAGATATATTGTTGCAAATGGGCAACGTATAATCTGAAGTGACGTAAATGGTTTACGACCACAGTTTCATAACAATTGTGCTATAACTGCTAATGGTCACTGGCGGCGTAAAGTGTTGCTACAAAAAACCAACTCTTTGACGTTTTTACGCTTTCACGCTGTGACGTTTTCAAAACTGCCTCTTCAATTATTATATCTCCGGGTTGTACAAAAATACATCTACCATGTTTTGTACTCTTTGCTATTTTGTACGTACTATTATTGTTAGAGATATGGATGTAATTTTTAATCGAGTGTGATCAATTACCTCATACTTTTTCTGATAACCATAACTCGGAAAATGTTGAAGACTCGACGCACGATGACCCTTAGTGTCTTTATCTACTTTGTCAGATTCTGGAACGCACATTGCATTTAGTTATTACCTAACAATTTGTAAAAACAAATCATCAAGTGTGAATTTAAGCCTCGTGATATGTCTCGTTTGGTAGTTTTAACACATTTTAAAGTAGGCTACGTGTATCTGGATTCTGCTAACACTTACATCACTTACGTAATTTTGTTTCGACGTGGTCGTAGCTAGCGAAACAGCGACGATGATTGGAGTTTCTCTCAGACGCCTCGAACAGGTTCGGCAAATTACTTCTCGTGCTCTTCGAACTTCGCTGACGTCGCGATTTTCGATTCGATCTCGTAACTCTGGCAACAATGAATTAATTAAAACACCGTTAGGATAATTGCGGGAAGACGAACGACAGTTTGAAACGTAATAGATGCCGTTTAAATATTTATTTTAGAAGGAACGCGAATATAACTTTGTCTGTTTAACCAAAAAATAGAAAATACTTAGGAAAACGTCGAAGATCGATACCTTGGATTTAGCAAATCGAGTTCCAAGGAAATACAGGAATCGTCGTCGGTGGATGCAGGCGTTCTAGATTCCTCCTGAAATTTAAATACCATTAAAATACTTAGTTGTAAAAGAGATGGAACCACTATAGATTTTGCTGTAAATCTCTTTCAACGAAACCCAAACAAATCTTTAGACATTGCCAACAGTACTCACCACGTCATAACACGTTAAACCTCCTCGCATGGTACGACTCACAATCGCCGACTAAAAGACCATTCTGAGAACAGGCGTCATAGCAGAGCGTCGCTGTTTCACTTGGTTCGCGCAGCGTGGTAGAAAAACCGCTAAAAATATACGACGTACAAACGGTTGGTTTGACGTTCAAAACGACCGGGACATTTGTGGGAAAAAAAGAAGAGAGAAAGGAGAATTGTGCGCGTGATCCGGAAAGGGGCCCCCCTAGAAACCAAACACGCGACAGATGAGCGCGATCGGACGACGTTTCGCCGGTTGGAAGCCAACTTCGATCGGTAATCGGGCATGTCGAATTCATTCGGTTCCCGATTGGATGTAACGTCGCTGGAAGAAACGGTGTACTTAAAGCGGGGCATTACCGTTCGAGAGCACGACTTTACTCCCTCGTAAATCTTGGCGTTACGAGCTCGCTGAAACTGCCGGTGCAAAGAGAAGCCGGATTGCCACTCAGCCGGTCGACCTTATGCGAACTTATTTGCCCAATCTCGAAACCTTGCCGCGACATTCTTTCTAGAATTTTCGATTCGTTTCCTGTGCCCGTTACCATCGACATTTTGAATTAAAAAAAGTTAAATACACTGTTTACAGAGAATTGGTAATTTTAAAAAGCAGGCGTTTTTAAATTCGAAGCGATAACCGTGGTCCCCGCGTTCCTGGCGATCGTTTTGCTTCGATTATCCAGGGGTGTGTTCGAATCCGGAGCATGAGAGTCCAGAAGCGTCCCGGGGAAACAGCTGATCGGGGCTCGAATGTGGAGCATCCACGTGTTGAACCTAGTCGAAGATATCAACCCTCCAGGTGGCTTTTTGTTAAATGCAACGAGACGTAAATACAGACATAATGAGCTTCGGTAGGGTAGCTACGGTGTAGGATAGCCGTCGGTATTTGGGTTTCGCGGAGGAGAAGGTCGCGGAAGATGGGTCGCCGGAGGGAGAAACCAGAGGGCTGTAGCGAGGGTGGGTACTGGCTGGCGGGCTGCATCGATCGCTTCGGGCGTCCCGGTGACCTCGACCTAATGCCACCCTCTTCTGCTCTTGAGCACGGCCCTCCTCGTGGCCCCCCCTGTGCTCCGTGGAAGCCACGGGGTCAGTTAGCACCCCCGTCAAAACACACAAAGCTCCGGGAACCGAGGATCGCGGAGGGGAGCAAAGGGTTAGGATCGTTCGACTCGAAGGTGTCGCCCTGGGCTTTCCATACATTGAATTAAACCAGCCGTTTGTTCCGGCCAATATGGTGTGCCGTACCAGTTCCTTTCGTTTCTGCAAGGTGGTAGTTTCTCGAACGATGTCGGAGCAGCGAGAAGACTTGCGTTTTTGTCCTTGAGTAACGGTCAAAAATTGTGCGCAGGGCGTGGTTTTCAATTGTATTAGTTTTGAATTTAGTAACGCAATTTTAGTCGGAATTTTTAGTCGATCTGTTGGGAATCGTAAAAAGAAATTTTCAATTTCTTCGACTCGACACCACGGTTATTCCCTTCACGCTTTCCAGACTGTTGCGCTCGAATCATCTAACCCAGAGGTTCTCAATCTTCCATGGTTCTGAGTTGTTCTTAGTATCTGAACAATATTTTTACAAGCTCCTAGATAGATATTATTATTGGCACACAGGAGAGACAAGATTGTCGTAAGAGTATTCAATTTAAGAATTAATAATCTTCGTAAAAAATTAAATTTTAGTTTTAGCTACAAGTATCAACAAAGGGAATTGACTCATCACTACAAAATTGAAATGGCGTTTCGCTCCAGGTACTGCTGGCAGATTCGTTGTCACAGTAGTTTTCAATATTCATAGGTATTTTCCTTGAAAATTTGAAATATCCCGCGGCGCCATGAATTCGCTACGGGCGCCCTAAGGCGCCGCGGTGCACATTTTCCGAAACTCTGACCTAATCAATTTTATGCTCTTTCCTAAAATTCCTAAATAAAACTTCAGGTATCTATTTTAAAATGGTTATATACTTCAAAAAATACAAATGACAAACTTTTTCGACCCTCCTCAGTGGTCATTTCAGACTACTCATCTTCAGGTGATATTCTCGTCTGAAAATTAAAATACATTTGAAAATTTACGTAACTTCAACTTCAAATTTGGCAGACATACAAAGTAGATACCTGGCTATACATTCACATTTCTCTAGCCCTGCCTTATGCATTTCACGAACTCACTGTCTTCATAAACAGTAACTTGAATCTCATTAATCATTAACATTTTTGGGAAAGATATTCGAGATAATTAGCAATTTTTAAACTCGTGATCCACGATGATCAGAAGATGAAAAGAGCTAGAGTTAATGGTATCGCGGTGTTTGAGTTTAATGTTGCATTTGGCAATTTTCTTCCATACCGCAATTCGTTGGGGTTCCACGTTCGTTATCCGGTGTTCGAGTATCGATCCATGCGATTGCCCACGACACGAATTCCTGGTCAGTGCGTCCGGAGCCCGCGGTAGACAAATATCTCTGCCGTGGCATGCACACGTGGCATGCGCGCGATTCTCGTCGTGTCAGCGGAACGGGAATTGCCACGGAAACGAAGCGCGAGAAACGAGTCCAATATTGCGGGCCAGCTTACAACGGACGATATTAAGTCCCGCGCAAACGGCTGGAGGCCGACGGCGCAATAAACCCACCAAACTGACGACATTATTGCACCGGGCTCATTTGCCCCGTCATCTTGTGGGCCGCAAACCGGGAATCTTTATGCAGATGAACGTCGAGCTTCCGGTAGCTACGATACCGAACCCTGCCTCTGTCAACCCTGCAATTAACCCCTTGCGTTCGAATCACGTCTCCCAAACGTTCGTGGTTAGTAGACGTCAGGCATATTTCACCCGTGACAAGAGTAGGTAGCATGATTCGTTGACAAATGGAAATTAAGTACTAAATGTTAAGTACGCGATGCTCTGAACAAACTGCTCATAATCGTTGATAATTGGTGTTAGTGACAAAATTAGGTAATATTTTGCGCATTGATGTATTCCTGCTACGTCAAAAGTGAGTAAGACGCATGGGTATTCAACATTCGAACATGGATCCATTATCAGAGCACTGTGAACGGGAAGAGGATAAATCGTGTACATGCAGTGACAGAGTAGACTGGATGTTTTATATGAAGCTTCAAAACGAATGCCAATTTATGGAATATTAAACATCCAACGATAGACTCGATGCTAGAATCATAAGTAATTTTTCTATGACCCATTGCCTCAAAGGAGGTTGCTCCTGGTCACTCCACGTAACAAAAGAGTAATGGTAACCACAGCGTAATAAACATTTTCCCGCGATCTCAAACAGTGAAAGCCTCGACAAACCAATCGTTCCACTCCTCGTCGACGAGGATCGAACACTCGACGCGTTTTAAATCAGTTCGTCCATGGCGAACTCGGTAGAACAACGCGCCCGGCAGCGTTTCGTTTTTCCCCCGTGGATACCGGAAGTAAATGTTTGACGTTCATGAATATGTATCACGCGGTAGATACGCAACCGCGTTCTATTGCGGCGCGATCGGTGCCGTTAACGCGAATCGTGCGGATAAAACGCACGATTTTCATCGCGCCCAGTCATTCAACGGTACCGATCATCCATCGGGATCGTTCCTTCTCTCTCTTCCAGGCAGTACGACCTCTGGCTACCGTTATTGGATCGCCATGAATATGAATGCCAGGTCGATCTATCTGTCAATAATGATACCGTGTAATGGTAATAATGGTATCCATAAACAATGGGTGGCATCGTAATTTCGCACGGTCGGGCGAGACGCGCGTCACCGGAACGCTCGCGGAATATGGAAGGTAACTTTTTGTACCGCAATAAATCCACGCAATCCATTTTCTGCCAATGGACGACAGCCAGCGCCGGGGAAAACGCATCGACGACCGCATAAAGTTCGTTTAACGCGTTGACTGTTCGTTACTGGGGATCGCGAGTGCAACTGAAACGTCCTCAGAGACGCCATTTCCGTAAACATATATCTTTTCTTTGAAAGATGTGAAAAGTTGATTTTCATTTATTGTTTTCAAATTGACCTAATTTGAAATTCTTGAACAACCGAATAACACAATTCGTCAGAAAATAATAATTAGGATAAGATGTATTTACGTTTAAACGTGCAATTTATTGTCGAATCCTCGAACGAGGCACAATCTCGCTTAGTCGCCAAAGTTATGCTACGTTGAACATAGTTACTGCTTCGACGGAGAACTATTCCGTGAACTAGCATCAATGGTCTGAAACTTTAAACGACAAATACTAGTCGACGCTGTCTAACGTGTTAGAAAAATAAGAGATTTGGGTCACCTAACGAACCGACGCTCGAGGGTCGAAGACACGTTAGTATGATCCACGCGGGAGGATCGATGGTTCGACCAGACTTTCGGAGGGTTGGGATTAAATGGAAGGCGATGTAGCCGCAAAAGCGAGGGGTCGCGGCAGAAGTTTGTTTTGCTGGAGGGAATGTGCAATTCAGTGGCAGGATGCAACGAATGTCCTGTACACTTTTTCAAATTAAAGTCCGAGAAAGTAAACTTTGCGTTTAACATTCTCTCTTCCCGAAGTAATACAGCGTCTTGGTAAAAGTCAACGAGGCATTATTAGACAACCCACGTTTCAACTAGCCTTTCGTACTTTACTTAGTGGACAATAAATACAAAATCTGCCTGTTAACTAAGTTAACAAATTTAAAGACGACAAATGCATACAAGTGAATTAGTGAAACGCTTCGTACCTTGAAACAAAGATGGATTTACACCTATATTCTGATACAGAAACGCGCCTCGAAGCGTCGTCCCTTCGACGCACCAATGGCAGCTTTCCCAACGCGGTATGTGTAAATACTCACGCACAAACGGAAACAAACCAGAGCCACGATCGAATCGTAGCGACCAACCCCATCGTTTCGCGTCATCGCCGGGCGGCCATGGTGAAAACGTAAACGCTGATCAAATACGATTTACATCTCTGCGAGATTAAGAGCGCAGTCGTGTTCTCCGCG